AATTAATTACCCCTTTGAATTGGAAATACATGTAATGATCAGCATTCAAGAAGAACACAGAGAGAAGTAACTTTCCTTCCTACCCCTGTCTCCCTGGCATCCAGTCTCCTTTCTCAGAAGCATCTGATATTTCCAGTCTCTTGTGTATCTTTTAGGGACACTCTATTGCATATACAAACACAGCATTGTGTGTATATATAGAGAGAGACACATTATTATAAATTACATTATAATTTATAATAATTTATTCTAAAATAAATCTATTCTTCCTTTCCTTCTTTTGATTCTCCCTTAGTTGTCCTTTAATTTCTTCAGTGAATGGTTCCCACTGATAACTATAGCCTATGTATTCAGCCAAGAGTAATTTCCCTAATGGGAGTGTCAGCTGTCTCAGAATTGAGCTTAGTTCTAGGCCATTTTAAAATGACTGCTTTCATAATTAAAAGATAGTGTCTCAAAAAATCATATGCTATATTCATATCATTTTAAAAGTTTTATAATTGACAACTATGACTCATGCTTGACATTCACAGATACCTGAAAACTCATTTTTTCTGTATACTTTCTAACAATGACTCTCATATGTTTCAATGTGAGCTTAGCACCATCAGCGCTTTTTTTCATCTCAGCCATTAAGGAGTGATTTACCTCAAGCCTCTTGATTAATTAAGGGATACCTAGAATTAAGAGAGAATACAAATTCTTCTGTGAAGAAGGTAATTGTCAAGCAGATAATCCAGATAATTCCATAATCACTTCCAAGGTGATTTATAATTGAACCAAATACTGTCTATATTTCCTAATAAAACCACAGTGTCAGCATGACCATGAAGTTACCTTTTCAGGTGCCTTGAGGCTTCTGCTACTTTCTGCACTCAGGCACAATGTTTCTGATACTTGCAAGCATTTTGCTCTTTTTTTCTCAGGATCCATAGTAATGTCTGATGCCCACCAGGCTGATCAAGGAAATGGTGATGCTGGGGTTGCATTATCATTAACTAAAAGAAGTGCCCTTTCCAAGTGTCCCTGCTGGACACTTGTGCTCAAGCACCTTCTACAGGGGTTGGTGTTCACAACATTTGAACTTTAGCTCCACTTGGCTACAGACAGGATTATTTTCAAGGGGCAAAATCTGAAGACCTCTGGTTTAATGGAAGTGGATCTATGATACTTGAAACACCTCTTGAGCTGCTAAGTCTTTAGAAATTGCAGAAAAACATATTTCATGCAAATGTAGGTTTTAATGTCACACATTACACTTTCCAACTTAGGTCTCTAGATGTGGGAAAAAATAGTGTGCATGGCAGGCACAAAGAAGTGGAATGAATAATTATCTCCTGGCATTATCTACTCTATATCCTATCCTAAAAAGAATGTTATAGTGAAATATATTTATTCACATTGGGATGAAAACTAGGATGTAAAATTCTAAGTTAATTTTATTTTCAAAGAAAATTTAATTAAAAGAGAAAAAAGCTTTGTTTCAAAAAGAAAGAAACAGAACTAATGCATTTTGCCCAGATTTGAACATTTCTTTAAAAGCCTAATGTTTAATGTGGCATTTTCAAGATACAATAATACCGACAGAACAGTATCTGATAGGATGATGGAATAACACCATGATAATTCAACATAAAATGAGACAAATCACCTAAGTGATTTGAAAAGAGGTTCATCTCTTGATACAGAATCAACATTTACCATGGTTTCAGAACCAGGTAATTGTGAATGGACATAGCTTGTGTTTTTATTTGATTTATCAAATTGAGGATTTTGAAAAGTATGTTTTGACAAGATCTGAAACAGGTCTCTATGGATCTTACAGATGAAATTCAATTGGCAACTCTGACTCATGACTTTGTTTATACACTTGTGCTTCAACACATCAGAAAAGCTATTTTTTTCCTATAGTTTCTAAGAATGTCTCTCAATTACAAACTCTAAGTCTGAATCATTTCTGGTTATCTTTTCTAGCTTACATACATTTTCCTCCTTATATATATGCCCATTATTACATCTTTCAAAGCCCATTAGGGATATGGAATAGACATGCAATATTTTACTGACTTGAAGGATACAGGAAAAATTCCTTCCAATAAGAAAAATTACACTTATGCATTTCTTTTTCCCTTGCCAATGCATGGCAGCAAGGAAAGCAGAGAAATATGCTAATGTTTAATAAGAATTCAAGAATAACCATTCCATTTACTTCAATGGCACATATTTGGCTCTTGATTTTATTCTGGTGGTCAAATTTTGCCCTTCTGTCTTCTTATCAGTCACCATTATTTTAATTGTCAATATCATCATCACCATGTTTATAATTATCACAGTCAGGTGCTTTTTCGCATTTACAGGGAAACTGTCACTATTCTATATTCAATCACATTTCCTAATCTACCTTCATTTCTACCTACTTATAAAAGGCCTCATTTACACATTGCAAATCAACTATGGCAAGTATTACAGTGTTTGTGTAAGCATCCTCCATGTTACAAGTTCCCTATTATCTCTGTCTTTTCTTTCCTTCTCTCCACCTAAGCTAAGATCATCTTTGCTTGCCACTGTGAATACTGGCTGGCTCTCAAAAGTTACCACCCTCACATCCTACTACAACAACTAGTTGGAAGCACTAATCTTCATAATTTATCCAGCTTTTTCTCTCTGTCTTGGTTCTAATTTCCTTATCCTGGAGAAAAGGATAACTTATTTTCCCTACATTACCAATATTTTATGTATGCATATATAAAATAAGATACTTCTTTGCCCTCTCAGATATGGTGTGGGAGTGGATAGATAAAATATAAATATGTAGAAAGATCATATTAGACATGTAAAATTCCATGGGAACATCAAGAAAAATGATTTCAGTCTAAAATAATGGGAAGAGTTTTAAATCCAGAAATAATCAAGCTCCCCCAAATGAAGAGAACTTTGGGATAGGTCAGGTAATTGAGCTGATATAAATGGTCTATGTAAATAAATTTTATGAAGAGGTAGCAGCAGTTTATTGAAGTAGAGAGTTAAAGGGAGAGGGAGATAAAACTCAATGAAGCCCATTAATGTTAGAGCGTCAGTGATATCCACCCCATTTCTTTTTTATAAGTCATTAAAATACCCTGTACATAGGCTTTTAAGTAGTAGATAGATCAAAGAAAACATGGCCACACTTGGCTGAACCTGACATTCTCCTCATTTATTTATTCTTTGGAACCATGATAAATGTCATTTCCCAAAGGTGATATCCCCAGAAACCAGGAAAAAAATGGATGTGGAAATGATAGCTCAGTCTTCTGGGGTCACTTAAAGTAGCAATGTCAACATGGGTGTTTGTTTCATTATCCTTTGTACTTTTCTGCCCTTTTGAAAAAGTATTTCTGGAAAGAAATGAATAACAGCTATGAAACAAGATTCTTGTAAACTCGAAACTGTTTTCCATCTCTGGACCTTCTCTATAAAGTGTTCCATGAATATCTTAATAGGAAATTGTCTTTCCATTTGTTGGAATCCTGTAACAATTTATCTATACTTAATAATGGTACTTTTTTATTTCTATCTAATATTAAAAGTATTCATGTAACATCTCTTCCCTCCATTAAAATTTTTAATAGAAGCACCTAAACTGTTTAATCTCCCAATTTTTCAAAGCACTGAACAGTTGGTATTTTGCAGATAGTCCAAACTAAAAAGTTGTTGAGTGGCTTAGCGGGTAAATATATGAATGAGCAATCCCATTGAAAGCTGGTTCCTAATTTGTTACTCACAAGATTTTATTTCAGATATTGACTTCCAAAGCAATGACCACAAAATTAAGAAATGGGGTGAACATGAAGATTTTTTTTCTCAGAAAAATTGATCTCTGAATGTAATTCAGTTGTCTCTCTTGGGGATACTTAAAAAATACTGTTTCACCAAAATTCTGACATATTTATTTATAAAATATGCCCATATCTGGGTATATTCAGAGGTGTAACATTTAAAGAAGAAATGAATTTAGAATTCAGTTTTATGCTTATATTTTTCAATAATAAAAATTAATCAACACTGAAGAAAAGTGTGTAATTAAATTGCTAATAAACAAAATTAACAGTGCATGAATTGCTACATAATATCAAGAACATTATAAATTTCTCCTTTTACAAAATGTTATAATAACCTCAAAATGCCTTATGTTAAATTTCATTACAAGATAAAAGACAATGTCACTTAAACTATGTATTTAAAAATTGAAGTATCAACATGATTCAATTATTAATCATTGGTTCTTATTAGTTTTTTCCCAATTCAAAATAAAATTAAACTAAATATATTTAAAAAGCATTTCTAGAGACTATTAACTATATTTTTGTAATGTTCAACAAATAAAAACAAAAAGCATTGGTTTGCTTCTAATTGAACAAAGAAAGTATCCACCATCTTTGACATGTGCACTTTACAATTATGTGATCTTTGTTGATTTCAAACAAACAATTTCAAATAAACAATGAGAATGCTTAAATAAAAGGAAATGAAAAATTAGAACCTCTTCTTACAAAGTCTAAAAATTAAAGAGGCTTGGAAGTATGTAAAGTGGCATATTTTATAGAGATTTAAACTCCACTTTGATGTAGGTATTTAAAATCAAAATCAAATATTTTGGTGTAACCACTGAATCTTGCATGCGTCCTGGTAGATATTCAAGGATGTCAAGTCTATCACTTGCTCTGTATTCACTTTCAGCCACACTTCCAGTTAAGAAAAAGCAGGGAATATGGCTACAATTTACGACACTAGTTTTATTCATGAAATAGAACACAAACAAGGAAAGTTTTCAAATGTGGCAAGCGACAAGCAAAATGTAAATGTCAGTAACTAATGCAAAAGAATACCAAAATAAAATGAACACTATAATTGTCATTTCCATTTTATAATTAAAAGCCCTGAAAATGTTTTTCAGAGTTAACTATTCAAACATCTAGAATATTTCTCAAAGGCTTAACGTAAGTTAAAGCAGAACCTACCTTTAAAATTTGGCCTGATTCTTGCATCATATCCTGATGTCCTTCCCATTAACTTGTCCAAGAAATCAGAAGGAGATAGGGTCTGTGAAGGTTGTTTTCCAGATCTGGAGTCATGGTCTTTGCAGAAAGCTGCCCTAAACACATCATTAACTCTTTTAGCAACGGTTTCATTTTCATCCCTTGAGAACAAATGCTCACTGCATTTTTAACAATACATTTTGGTAAAGATATTTAATATGTTAGTATGAAGAAAACTAGAAAAATCCAAACTTTTTGGCCAACTTCTGAACTTGTATATGGTTCTAAAGTTAACTTTTAATGATGAGAACTATAAATCCTGAATCACATCTCCTACATCTCCAAACTTTAACCATAAGATGTTTGAGAAAAGACAATGTATTTAGTTTTAGATTGTAGATTTTATGTAGATAATAGTTAAAACTATTTCTATCTAGAGTTGTCAGAGAAATGAGATAATTTTAAAATTTCAAGTGATTGTCTTAAAATCACTCCTCTATGCCTCAAAAAATTGTTTCAGCATTTCAGCCCTAAATATGTCTTCTACCTTTTATGAGAAACATATAATAATATGGGCAGAACAAACATTATTTCATTGCTTATTTTACCATCTGCTAGTTCTAATCCAGCTATCAACTATTACTATTTTTCAATGTGATATCTAAAAGAGAACCTTCATTTGAACATTTAATTTCATTTTAAAATAGGTCAACAATGAGCATGTCTGTGACTTCTATTATTTTATTAGTTATTAATATACGAGCATTTAAATTGTTGACTCTTAAAAATATTAAGAAAAACACACTTCTAAATCATTTTGACTTTTTTATCAAAACACTAAAATTCAGTGAAAAATTTCTCAGATTTTCATCTTCCTGTTAAAAGTAATAAAGAGCTTATTAAAAAGGGCACATTTGGTTTGTAGCAAAATTCTTTCACAATACATAGTGGTTAACTGAAATTTCTTCCCTAAAGTATATATTTTACAAGCTTTGCTTTCAATAGTTTAACAAATAGTCATATTAATTCTATCACTAAGAAAATAATACACTCTTGTCAGTTTTTCAAAGAAGGGGTATTCAAAGTAAGTGCAAAAATGATATAAATATTTTGTAGGAGTTAAAAAATGATACAATCATACATAAATACTCACTTTCTCATATGCAGATTCATCTGATTAATCAAATATTATTTGATTATCATGTGGTGGTGGTGAGGATGATGATGATGATGATGATGATGATTCTAATAAAAACCAGCCTATATTTTTTCTTACTCATAGTAGGAGGTGTAAACCTGAAAGGAACATAGTGGGTTGTCCCAGTATACATAGCATTATTACTATGTGTTCCATTTATCTTGGTTCTGTGAAAAAATGCCATAATATTTAGTGAAAATTAAATTTAGAGTCCTATACTTTGTTGTTAAGAGCATCTTCTATCTCTATGGAGTCTTAGACCCCCTGTTATTGAATGACTATTTAACTTACTGGTAATGATTTGATATTTAGAGGTATCAACTGATTTGACAACTAGTAAACTATGTAGAAAATGCAAGCATGAAAATAGTAATTTCTCACTTGTTTTAATTATGCATGCTCAATTTCTTATATGTACATAAATACAAATATGTCATATTAATTAAATTTTGGTAGGTAATCAATTTCCAAACAGATTGAATAGAATATAGTAGCAAAAAGAGATTTTTGATATTTCAAGAAAATTCCTGAATTGTGGTTCTCATAGTACGCTTCTAGTTTCTGAAATATAATAGAAGTCCCAAGTTGGCTGAGAATTAGGGACCTTTTATATTTTATCTAAAATAAGCATGCCTCTGCCAAATTAATACAATCATTTTGTCATATGAAAAACACTATACCAAATATTCCCTTTAAATCACTTTCAGAAAAATTTGAAAGCAAAAATATCACCCTTATATAGAATTGTAAAGAGCATGCAACTTATCATACTACCTTAATATCACATTGGCTGTGAAAAATTGTGTTGAATTGCATAGAGTGCGGTTATGCATCATAAAACTTGCTTTTGTGAAAATTTACCACCCTCCCACTATTATTAGGCTTTTTAAATGAACAAAAGATATCTAACTTTCCTCTATAAATCAAAATAATATAGTACAGGGCACAGAGAAATAGATAACAATTGAATGACACATTCTCTTTTAAACAATTTAAATATCAACATGCAAAGTCGTTTCACCTACCTGAAGTGGTTTGTCGCTAAGAAAAATGCAAACAAGGCTGTCAAAATGTTCATTAGCTGCCGGTTCATTCCTGTTTCTGTGTTGCTTGTGGAAAATATCCCGAAATGATTCCAGAAAGATGTTAGGACAAAGTATCTATTTATTGTTCAGATTCAAAATCTGGCAGGAATCTAGTTTCCTTTAAAATGAAAGAGAAATTTGGTTTTGTACAGTTTGCTGAGAAAAAAGAAAAAGTGCCAATCTTGGGCATCATGGTCAGGTCAAACTGAGGCTTGGGACCATCAGTTAAACCAGGAAAGACAAAGACTCAGAACTGATGAATCCCCCAGCTGCTTTTCCTGAATAATAAAAATGCTGCTACCTTAATCGCATCACCATGCAAAGGGGGCTGGTGACAATGCCATGCTGGAAGTCGGGTAGCTGTGGCTTTTGTTTTATATCTTTTCTGTTTAGCAAAGCCCTTTTTCTAGAAAACGTTCCCTTTTAAAAAGAAGTTGTAAATGAGGGAGAAGAAAGGACTTTGTGCGCTGGAGTGGGTGGGGAGAAGAGGGAAAAATTGCTGAGATCCTGTGCTGGAATGAGGGCTATAGAAAGAGACGGAGACGTGATCTTACCCAGCCTATAAATTTCAGCACTCGGACAGCTCCAAGCTCTGAAGTGCGCATGTTTCCTTTTTCAGTCGCTTGGGGCGGGGGTCGGGGAGAAGCATTCAAGAGGGGACATGCCTGCTGTTCAAAGGAAAAGAGTGACTGGCCGTTCAGTGAGAGGGTACTGAAGGGGGTGCGATGACGGCAAGAAGAGAACAGAGGTCAGGAGACGGAGAGAGTGAGGGAGGTGGGGTCTGAGCTCCTAGAAATGCTAGTCTGTCCGTGGGTGGGCGGGACGCGAGCCTGAAGCAGAAAAGAGAAGGGAATAAGGTTTAATCATGGGGACACAAAATTGAAGGAAACAGAGAACAGGATTCAGAGTGCTGAAATTATAATAAGGGTGTGGACAGGTCACTCTTTGTCAGTGGAAGCCGGAGGCAAAAAGTGGAGTCCTGTGCTGAAGAGAAGGGGACATTTCTTTGGCATAGAGAAGCCCGTGTGCAGAATAAGGTTCATGAAGATCGATAATTTAATTTAGAAGTCCTTGATACCTTCCTCGTCTTTTAAATCTTTTCATTTGATTTTAGCCGCCTATTCCCAAAGGATCTCTCTACCTCTCTACTAGGGAAAGCCCCTTCCAACTGAGCTTTTTTTAGTGGCTCAAAATCCTTGGGCATCCTCAAGTCACAGATTTGTAGAAAAGGAAAAGAGACAATGGGCCGGCAGGGGGCAGTAGCAATCTTTTTTTGCCCTGGATAAAGGTTAGAGCCGGGCTCCATGTTAGAAACGAAGCAAAGAAAAGTGAGACTGGGAGTTCAGTTCATCGGCCCATTCCAGATGTTAATCACTAGGAACAGTCATGTAATAAAGTGCATATGCTATTCTCCTAAATTGGCTAAAGGGACTGAAAATAGTGGAAGTTCTTAAGTCCATACGAAACTGTGGCAGATAACCCTGCTATTTTAAATTAAAATTAAAAACATTATTAATAAAAAAGAGGAAGGATAGATAGTACAATGCAGATGATTAGCAGCTCCTGAGAAGGGGGAATGAAAAATACATGTCCTACCATAAGCTAGGAGAGTAATCTACTTTTTGTTTGTTAAATATTCCTTGTTAGTCACCTATGCACTTTACTGTAGGTCTTAATTTTAAAACAAAATAATGATTAATTTTCTATTCCATAAATGACTAGCTTTGGATTAGCTTAAATATTACAGTAGAGTAACAATGAATTCTATGTCTTTAAGAAGTAGATTCTGAGGAAAAAAAATGGCAAGTTCTTTTTACCTTTTAATGTTAATATAAATTACCAGAGGATATTACTGAAATGCAGATTATGATCCAGAAGGTCTGGGGTAGGGCCTCAGATTCTGAATTTCTAACAAGTTCCTAGCTGAAGTTGATGCTGCTTGTCCACAGATCACACTTTAAGTAACAATAGTCTATATGCCTTTTCATAAGATTTCTATCCCGCTAAGACAGTGAACATATAGGAATCTCTTTTTAGATGAAATGCAGTAGTGCCCAAGCATTCTACTTACATACAGAATCAATTCTTCAAATGTATTTTCTTAACTTTCTTAACTAGAGAAAACGATTTAGTTTAAAAGAAAAACAGTATGCTATAGTGTGAGACATCTCTGGACTGCAGCTTCAAATTTGTTCACTTCCAAATTCATCCACATGGAAACTCTAGATCTGATTTTATCCCTGCAGTGCTGACCCATAAAAATAAAATCAATTCCTGGAAACATTTCTCCAATTGGTTCGACATGGAAAAACAGTACAAGATTTTTTGTGTTCAAGATTCTTTCCAAAAGAAAATATATGTATAAAGATAGAAGAAAATGATTTGTCTCAAATTTGTTTAAGGTTGTAATGATGCCTAAAGTAATATAGTCTTTGTAAATCATTTATTTTAACAAGAGTTGTGTTATTAACCAGGAGTAGGATGAGTAAGGAAATCTGTGACAAAAGGAGACTGGCTGGCAGCATGAAATCACAGCATTATATTCCTGTAGAGTTGTAAGGGACATTAGAGAGGATTTAGTTTAGCCTCCTCATTTTACTTCTCAGCTCTCCTGAATTTGGATTCCAGCCCTATCAATCCACAGAAACAGCTCTAAGTCTGCCAGTGAATTTCTTGTAACTAAGTCCAAAAGACATTTTTCTGTTCTCATCTTACTTGACATTTCCATGCTACCTAATGTCATTGGCCTTTTCTTCCTTCTTGAAACACTTCCCTCTATTGACCCTGTGACACAGTGCACTCCTGGATTGCCTCTGTCTTCTTGGCAGGCATATCCTCCTCTACCTGGCCTATAAAACTTGGATTTCCTAAAGGCTATATTCTGGGCTGTCTCTTCTTCTCACACTACACTAGCTTATACAATATTATGGTAATTTAACTTCCATTATATTTTATACACATGACACAGAAAGGTATGTTTCTACCCAGACCTGTATATCCAGCTGCTTTCTAAATAATTCCTAATGGGTGTCTCAAAAACTCCTCAAACTCCTCGTGTCAAAACCAAACTTCTGATATTCCTCGAACTTCTACTCCTATTCTACTGTGTCTGTTTCATTGTTATCAACCAAAGGCCAAGGCATCATCTTTAGGACTCCCTCTCCATCATCCACCATATCTAGTTCTTCACCAAGTCCTATTTATTTTTTTCTCCCAAATCTTTCCACTTCCCTCCATCTCAACTTCCATGACCCCAGCTGAGTTATCTTCATCTCTTTCCTAGACTGCTGCAATCATCCTCTTACTAGTCTACCTGAACCAACAGCTGGCCTTCGTCCACCTCATCCTGTACGCTGAAACCAGAATGATTTGTTCAAAATCAGAATCTGATTGTGTCACAGCTCCTGGTTAATACTATGGCTTTTCATTGATATTTGTAACAACGAAACTACTTAATGACCTAAAAGTTCCACATGGTCTGGCCCATACCTACATCGTTCTTCATCTCATCCACTAGTCATATCATTTCTTTCCCTCTAGCTATATTGGTATTTTTCTTAGTCCCTAATGATTACTGTATTGCTTAATCCCATGAAGTACTCATGCCCCCATCTTTGTTTGGTTAACACCAGCCTATTTTTCACATCTCTGGAAGGCCTTTCCTGACCTTCATTACTTTATCAACTGTATTACAGGCCTTCATAGTGCTCTCTAACACTGACTCAAGGAGCTCATCATCATTACATGTATACATGTGTATGATTGTTTGCTTACATAGCAAGCTTTGCAATGGACAGAGACAGTACATGTTTTGGTCCACCATTGTATCTCCATACATTCAATGATAATGACAGTCATCACAATGGTATCGATGATAACTAGGATACAATTTTAAATATGTACCAGAAATTTGTGGCTTAAGCAAAATAACGGAAGTACATATGTATAGTTCACAAATTGTTCTTTCAAAAAACTGCTTGTTAGGGAATTAACAAGTTAAGATCTATGATTATTTGAAAGGAAACCAAGTTCAGTGGCACAGCAGTCTAAAGCATAAAATTAAAATCAAAGTAAGAGATTATGAATTCAATATCCTTGATTCGAGTTCTACCTTTAATACTCATTGGTTATGTGACTTTGGACAAGCCCTTTAATCCCTCTCAGTCTCATTCTCATAATATGTAAAACATATATAACATAAAGTATTATATAATTACATAAATACACATGTTACATAAAATATTTCCATGTAGAATACTCTTGAAAATTACATTAAATCAGAGCTGAGGGTGTGTTTTTAGAGTTTTAATCTCATTTACTCAATTTACTTAGTCTCATCTACTCACTGTTAAAATTTGTGTTTTAGCTTTGTTCATTGGACAATTCCACTTTCTTTCTTTTTTATTTTTTTCTTGAGACAGAGTCTCAGCCTGTTGCTCATGCTGGAGTGCAGTCACATGATCTTGGCTCACTGCAACCTCCACCTCCCAAGTTCAAGCAATTTTCCTGCCTCAGCCTCCCAAGTAGCTGAGACTACAGGCACATGCCACCATGCTCAGCTAATTTTTATATTTTTAGTAGAGACAGGGTTTCACTGTGTTGGTTAGGATGGTCTTGATCTCTTGACCTCATGATCTGCCAGCCTCAGTCTCCCAAAGTGCTGAGATTACAAGTGTGAGCCACTGCACCTGGCTGACAATTCCACTTTCAAGGATAGGAAGATTCACTTGCAATGCAGTGGAAACTGAAGGCTAATTCTCCTATGCCTCTATTTAAATCAAATTGTAACTGGTTGAGGTATGTGGCAATCTTATTTTGTACTCTTTTTGCAAGAGAAACGAAAAGATTGTGACCCATCCTATAATGTCATAAGGACCAACATACAGTATTTGGTCTATATGATGCTACATATTAAACTTTAAAAAAAGATATAAACAAATAAAAACACCTTTCTTAACATCAGTATCATTTACTGATATTGATAAATCTTAAGAACCTCTAACATATAAAAAATGCTTTATAGTTTTTAAAATACCCATATTATATGGCAGAAAAATAATTGATATCTGTATATTTTATGAGGAATCTATAGTTTGTGTAAGTTGATCAATTTTCTCAAGTCTATATAAGTGACAGTCATGCTTTTTATATTTACTACCCATGAACAAATTTATTTCTCATTTCGTGTGATTGCTGTTATTTTTTAAGTGACTGAAAGTCTACTGTATGCCTACAACTACTTTTAATAATTATGTTTTTGTGATTCCATTACATTAAATTTTGGTTACCATTATATTAACATATATACACACACAAATGTGTTGAATGGAATACCCATATTAAGAGTCTCAGAGTCAATTTCCTCAAAGAAAGAATCAAAAGATTTCATACCAATACCCTGTGTCAGGGCTTTTATAGAACAGGTCTTCATACAGAAAAAAATGTCCTTCTCAAATACAGACATTCTTTCCTCTACTTAAATATATGAAGTAGAAGTTAAGAAAAGATCTATTAATTTGCAATAGACACCCACCAAGTAGAGGTTTGAGGCAGATTAGAGAAGGCAAGAAGCTTTTTTACCAAATCTTTTGTTGTTAGAGATGCTTCCTCACAGAGAGCAATAAAGACAATTTCACCTTAATAAAATGCACCTCCTGAATTTTAGGAGAGATTCACCTGTCTCAAACAGACTCTATTCTCACTATAGGGCCAT